AATATTTTCTTTTTTTGAGACTCAAGATAATATCTTAAGATAGAGATTATCCAATGCCTTTCCCACGTAAGACTCTACGATTTCTATGACTTTTCCATACAAAACTTATGACTTTTGTCAAAATTTCCAGATTTTCCTCATTGCAGGCGTTGAGGCGACACTCTGCGGATCACCAGAGCAATTGGAAGACTTCTGGAAGGCGCAGATGATCTATCCAGTGGTGAGTGAGTGGCGGGAGCGTTTAGGAGTTAGGGCTATCCATGTTCCCCACTAAATGGAGAGCTCAGGATCTACTGAGAGTTTCCCAACCACAGGATAGATTAACATAGATGGAAGATTAGCATATATGACATAATTATGGAACTATGAGCTTTATAAGACAATATGGTGATAAAGCTGATATGACCAAGCTTATATAACCAACAATACAATTATTTGGGTATAACCATTCGATTTGGTTTCACTCTTGGTTTGGATACTGGGAAACCTTGGATGAGTACTTTGATACTTTACTTCTTTTGCCATGGAATATGTGGTGTGACCGGCTAGAATTTGTCATTTTCTGCAGGGTATTGGCATGATTGGATTGGCAGCGTGTTTCTCAGTGCTGCTAGGTTTTGTTTGCGTCTATCCCCAGATCCACTAAGCCGTCTTAGTGGATCCATGGTTCGACCCATGTCTATGTTGAGTCTATGTTTTGTTGTCGACCATCCTGAGATCCCTGGTCACCCTTTCCGGGTGACCGAACGTTGCAGGCCGTAGCCATTCACCAGAGTTTTTTCGAGGCACGGAACGTTGCGATGTGGGTTTGGTACCTGGCAATGAGGGATTAACCCCCAATGAATATACCAATTTTAGCTAATTTTAATGATTCTTAATGTGGACAATGAGGCAATGAGGCAGTTAATCCGATTTGGGTGTACCGAATGTTTGGACATGTTTGGACAGACCTACATGATAGTTTCCTTGGTTCATACTGTTTAACACTTGGAATTCAGTACTGAGCTGTTGGAAAAGGGAAACAAATGCAGTTGGATTCCAGATGCAAAGAACATGATAAAACATATTTCTTTTGATGCAAGCAGGCAGTTTCATTATTTTTTTGCTATGGCACACCACCTGAACAACCTAATCTCCAATTGTGGTGGGTATGTTTATGGGTTTGCCTGAAAATATGGTACCCCAAAATCTACTGGTTGATTATGATGTACCCCTCTCAGATAGCCATACATTGGGGTATACTCCATTTTCAGACTCAGCAAAATCAATGAAAGCCATGGAAAGCCAATTTTTTGGGGTAAAATTCTCCAAGACCATCATTTATTGCAGTTTGCCACTGGGAAAATTTGCAAATCCTGGCAGGTGCTCCCAAACCGACGGAAAGCCAACACGGAGCTGCCATATCCAGTGGCGCGTCGAACAATCCATGGTGAACATGACCACTACCCAGCAACCGAGTACTGTAAACGTTGGTTTGGTTGGACAAATAGGTAACATTGCCACTTTTGACAGCAAGAGTCTATACTCAGCAGTCATTATTGGTAACAGTAACTTGGTCTACTTGGTTGATACATGGTTGATACATGGATATAAGTCGGGAAAGATTTTCATGCCAAGTTGGTCTCCAAAATGGCTTCTTCTTTTTTTTTGGGGGAGCGATCTCCTTACATAGCAAGGTGTGGATTTTTTTGGTAGCCCCAAATCATCCAAGCTGGACGATTGTGGGGGTACCAAAGCCCTGGCTTTGAGGATCCTCCCTTGAATCCTTGAAACCTTCATGTATTTGGAGTTAAAACGCCATTGGTTTCCTATATTAATGAATCGAATATTTTGATGAATCCATGTTTATTGGAGTTAAATTGAGAATATTGAGTTATAATTTGTGCCCAGTTGTGCCTCAATTTTTTGATGAATCCATGGAATTTCCCACCACGATTGATGATGTGTGGATCCTTTGGCGGTGCTCTCAGTCAGTTGGCCTACCCACTGATAAATGACCAAAAACTACTATGACATGATACTCCCCAAATATTTGCCTGGGTTTGTTTAAGATGATGTTAAATGTGCCCAATGGGAAATTCACTAGAATTGAGGTATCTATAGTCTATAGTCTATAGTAATTTATCACTAAACAGTCAGCAAGCCTACCCACAAAGTGATGAATTTCCAACAACATCAATAAACTACTATGAAATGGTACCCCCTAAACATTCACAGCGCTTTCTCTATCTTGGGTTGAAATGTAACAACGTTGTTTCCTGTGCCTCGAAGCCAAAAAGGTCTTCATTTGCTCCAAAGGACGTGTGGAGACCTGGTAACCTGGCGGGCTTATGGATATGTACACGGAAGACACAATACTCATTCAATAGATATTCATTTTGCAGTTTTATATCTATTTATTTATACCTTCATTTGTTTGTTTAATATAATGATATAAAATTATATAAATACACACATACATACATACATACATACATACATACATACATACATACATACATACATACATACATACATACATACATACATACATACATACATACATACATACATACATACATACATACATACATACATACATACATACATACATACATACATACATACATACATACATACATACATACATACATACATACATACATACATACATACATACATACATACATACATACATACATACATACATACATACATACATACATACATACCTAATAGTTGCGAATCTCTGTGATGGTGGTTGGACGACAAGCCCACACGGGTTTGTGGCCCTTGTTGACCTTTCGTCAATGCACTGCTGGGGAAGGTTTGGAGGATCACAAGTGGAACAATTGATAGATGATCATCCCACGAATCATAAATGGTTCATATATTTGTATTTCAAACCCAATTATATATCCCATAGGATCCATGGTGCTGCTATGTATGGTAACATGGATCCCATCAATATACCCCAGTCATGTTAGCATTTTTCTACCAGCACCAGCCGGATCCTATGGGTATGGGATAACCATGGATAACCCCACCTTCAGAAAGGGGACTTCCTACGGTTATTTTTTTTTCCATCGAGTGGGATGATCCAAGTAGGATGGAAAAAACCACAGGTATTTCCAGCCAGGTCACCGTTGAAACGATCGCGGGTTTGACCAGAAATAGCCTCTCCCATATGCCATGGTGCTGGAATATTTACCTACAAAACTGGCTCATAAAAATGGGTAGATCTTGGTAAATATTCCATACATGGAGCATATGGGTCTGGTAATTTAAGAGGTTGCTATAGAACATAACACATTTAGCTCGTTGATTTACCTATTAAAGATGGTGATTTTCCAGTTCGCTATGTTAGTTTACCAGAGGGTACAGGATACCCCAAACTAGCCATTTTCAATATGGAAACCAATGACAAACACCAGAAGCGTGACCCAATTTTCATGGAAAAAACACATAGCTGAGAAGCATTGGATACCCTCCGGTCATCAGCTCTATATTACCATTAAATCACCATTAAATTTCACCAAATCACCATCCATCACCATGAAAAGTCACTCCTTCTGGCTGGTTAAATCACCATGAAATCCCATGATATCCCTATGAAATCACATTTTTTTGGGCTTAAATCACCCATGAAATGCTCCCTTTTGTCATGGATATGGCCTCCTCTCGTGCCTCTAGGTGCCTCTAGTGGTTTCCTCAATTGGCGCACGGAGCACTGCTTGGGGCCGGGGACCTCAGCAAAATCTCAGCGGGATCTCAGTGGACGTGGAGGACTCGAGTTGGTCAAAGGGATTCATCGAGGTTTCTCCCCGATTCGCTGTTGAGAATCAACCTCCGTTTTTTTGGGGGGGCTAAAGGCTCAAAGGCTCAAAGACCACAAAAACACCACGAGCGGCTCATTTGGCTGCTACTGTACGTCTTGTCACAACTACAGCAAGCCGAAGAAAGACAGAACAATAACAGTGATATGAAATCCCTTTCCTATCTATCTGTTTCAGGGTTATAAAATAACAATGTTATAACCTCAGTTATTTTGAAGGTCAGACTCCTCTTCGGCAACGCGGCAGGTCAGACTCCTCAGGTGCCTGCCTCCGTAGAGCTTCCTGGGGATCTGCAGGAGAGTTGATATCTCGCAACCTAAAACGGTCACTGTTCCTGCGCTTTTTTTGTACATAAGATTTACGACATAAATATATGTAAATTGTAATATACAGATGGAAACAAGGGAAACTCTGATCATTAGGAGAATTTTGGAGTAACCTAAAATGCTGACCAAGCCTGAGAAAATGGTTGAGGTGCGATGCCGCAATTTCCCTTGGGATTTCTGGTGGCTGATCTTCACCGCTGTGTAGCGTCATGGCGATGCCGCATTGCACCATTGCGAAGGTTAACCCGGCAAAGAGTAGCACAGCATGGGAACTATTTGCATCTATTTGTTGGATTTCTTCAGTCTCAAGCCCAATTCTATTGTCTTCCCATCGAGTTGTGAGTTACAATGTGAGGCCCCCAAGATAGCTAAGTTGGTGAACATAACTCCAATAACTATGGTTTATGGTACTTATAACTATAGTTACTGGGGCTTATAAACCAACTTATAACTGGGGGGGGCCATTCTGCATCACTCAGGTCAATTATATGTATATGTAAATTTCCATATCATATCCTACCATATCAAAACATATCATATCATTATCATCAAGTATCTTTACCGAACCTCCTCCCCTTAGAATTCACCAGTGAAGACCCCCAAAAATGGTCAGCGTTTCTGCAGATTCAATTGATCTCCGATCCTCCATGGTGCTGGAATATTTACCACTTAGCCCAAGAATCCTTTACAAAACACGTGGTAAATAGTGGTAAATAGTGGTAAATAGTGGTAAATAGTGGTAAATAGTGCTATAATAGTGGTAAATAGTGGTAAATATATTCATGAAAGTATAACTTCATACTTCTGCACCGAGCTTTTGGTCGCCGCAACGTTCCTTCACCTTGGCCACCTTGGCTCAAAGGGCGCGATCTGAGCCACGAAAAATCGGTGGAGACACTCTGAACTCGCCTGCCCCACAGGTGATCGGAGGCACGTTTTGGGTGTGGGTCACACGGGACCTTTGGAGACCTTTGGGGAGAGCATAGTTTGAATAAACTGAAGCAAGCAAATCAGTAGTAATAAACTACACGTCTGACTGGTTGGTGGTTTGGAACATGGCTTTTATGACTTTCCATTCAGTTGGGAAGAATAGTCCCAACTGACTAGTATTTTTCAAGATGGTTATTGCACCACCAACCAGAATAAGTAGTAATAGACTACACATGAAGTCTAAACATTAGGGAATCAGCTTTGATTTCTTTTTTCTCGATGTATTTCATGGGACCCAACACGTTCTGTGCATGTTCTTCAGCAGCGCAGGTGGCTCAAACATTTTTGGTACCAATTGACACATGAAATTACCTAAAATTGGCCATTTTCAGTACTTAATGGTCATATCCAGCCCCCAAACATGTTATAGTTTAACATATGGGTATGGATCAATACCTATTAATACCATTTTTAGGGGGTTATTCACATCCTTTAAATCCCAGCTATTTTGATGTGAACTACAGGGGTACAAGGTTTTGACACACTGCCATATATGCCCTCTGGTTATTTAACATAGCCATGGAAGCCATGGCCCATAGAAATAGATGATTTTCCCATAACAATGTTTAACATATTATAATACATTTTATTCATCCCAAAGTTCAAAAAAGTTGAGCGAAAAACCCAGATGAAACGTTTGCTGAGGCGAGCGCAATGGACAAGTATCGCAAGGTGATGAAACCTAAGGAGACAGCCCTGGGTCTGGGGGCGAAACCTGCCCTGGCTACCCTGGGTACCCTGGGTTGGAGCAGTTTTGAACCCAACATGTTTGAAAAAAAGACCAATCAAGTGGAGGCTGGTTGGTGGTTTCAATCATGAATTTTTAATTTTCCATTTCATATATGGGATGTCATCCTTCCCATTGACTTTCATATTTCTCACGATGGTTAGTGCACCACCAACCAGTGTTGGAATATTTGACCAATCAAGTGGAGGGTGAATCGTTGAAAATACAGGGGATATTTCTAGGAGTCATTTGGGTTCTAGGCGGTGGGAAGATGGAAAGTAGCATCAGTCCATATTTGACAACATACCAAGTGAATGGTCGTGAAATCCGGCACCGAGCTCTTAGATGATAAACATCCCGTTAGAATACCATTTCCATGATTTACCCTCCGGTAAACGTTTACATAACCATGGAAAATCACCATTTTTTATGGGTAAATCCACTATACATGGCAATTTTCAATAGCTATGTTAAATTACCAGAGAGTACAGTTTTTCATAATTAGCATACCAACTGGTGCAGGATGGCTTGTCCGTCCACAGTACGAGATAAATGTGTCATGGTGCGTCAAGTGCTTGCATCCAAAAATGGGTCGAATCGTTCTTTCTGCCATTTTGACTCATTACCCACGTACAACCTGTGCGACATACCCTGATAATTTAACATAGCTATTGAAAATGGTGATTTATAGCGAGTTTTCCCATTGAAAATGGTGATTTTCCATAGTTATGTTAAATTACCAGAGGGTAACGTGAAACCAAGCGGATCATTGAGAGAGCATTGTCTGAGTAGTGTCAGCATTCATATTCCACGATTGATGAATTACGTAAGGGGTAGCCCCTCAAAAAGTCACAGATGCTCCTGAGAATGGCCCCCAAATGAAACAAACTCAACGTTGTTTTTTCGCACATTTGCTTCCAACCATTTTTGTTTGGTGTTGACCCGCTTCAGAGGTTTCCCAGTTTTGGACTTATATGGATATCTGGTTGGTGGTTTCAAACATGAATTTTATTTTCCATTTCATATATGGGATGTCATCCTTCCCATTGACGAACTCCATCATTTTTCAAGATGGTTATTGCACCACCAACCAGCTTGGGTATTAAGGTCAATATCAATACCTATGATTCATGGTTATGGTTATTACTAATTACCCATCCAACAATACCATACAATAGCCATCTGGTTGGTGGTTTGGAACATTTTTTATTTTTCCATATATTGGACATAATACTCCCAACTGACGAACTCATATTTTTCAGAGGGGTAGGTCAACCACCAACCAGTAATTACCCATCCAACAATACCATACAATCAATGGCCATTTCAGGAACCTAAATTGGAGGTACCTACCATATATAAGGCCTATTGTTCAGGCTTATGTAAGGGAATATCCCCACAAAATATGGCCAAACATATGGTACTAACGTACCTCCATTTTAGGATCCTGGAATTCCCATTGATACAATAGCCATATATAGATATTTGTAGCCCATGCCCATTGGTCATGGTTCCATGTCTGTTGATCTCCAGCATCCTGCTCCGATGCTCGGCTTCCAGGATACCCGGCCTGGTAAACATAGAAAAAGCTATTGAAAATGGCCAGAAATAGTGGATTTTCCCATTAAAAATGGTGATTTTTCCGGAAATCCAGGATACCCGGCCATAGAAATAGTGGATTTACCATGGATTTACCATGGATTTACCCATTAACATTAAACATGGTGGATCTTTCCATAGTAAACGTTTACCAGAGGGTAACCCCAAAGATAGTTTTTTTTTTTGGGATCAGTGGTCTGCTTTTTCCAGGCAAGAATAGTCTGTCATGTTAGCCAAAGCAATAGGATCCACCATCCCCAAATTTAGCATTTTCTATGATAAATCCAATCGTTGGTCGAGTTAGAAAGCAAAATAAAGCTATCTTGAATTTATCATAAATCACTTGTGTTGTTGATTAGATCCCCATGTTGACTAAATCATCTCAAATTCCATTTGTTTAAGGTGAAATCGACCCATCAAGTTAGTTAAGCTAGTGTTATCCCCATTTTTCTAGCTCTTAAACTACCAAGTGTTCCCAATTTTCCATATTTTGTAGCTCAAATCCCTATCCTGGCCATGACATGCCTGCTTTTTTTTGCCACGAAACGCGCAGGAGGACGTCCAGAAGGCAGACGAAGAGATCCGCGTGACGGCGGCGGGCAGCGTGTCGGTCCGGGATGCCTGGGATGCCGCTGGAATAATTAGGGGGGTACTCCTCAAATAGTCATAATCTGATACTGAAATGCTATCTACTCCAGGATCATATTATATATATATGATTATATATATATTAATAGTGGTTAGTAATGGTTAATAGTGGTTAGTAATATATTATAAGCATATCTGGATATCTGGGTAAATTTGATCACGACCTGGACAATCACCATTAAAATAATAGGTACATCAACGAACTAAATGGGTCACATTCCATGCTATTGCCAGAGGGTATCCAAAATGGATGGTTTCTAATGGAAAATCCTACTAAAATGGGATGATTTGGGGGTACCATCATTTTAGGAAACCTCCATGTGGAAATACTTCGATATCAGATGTGGACACAATGGCTGCTAAACCCCTGTTTGATGATGGTTGATGATTGTGGAGGGTTATACTACATTATACTGGGTTGTGTCAAACACTAATGGGTATACTATTGGGGCTATTAACTCTTAACTGACAGGAATAGATATTGGGCTGTGTCTGAAAATTCGGGAATACCCACAAATAGTTCCATTGTTTTACAGGGAAATTCATTTTCTAATCCATTGCAATTGCAATTGGAAGTAACTTATTTTCAGACAAACTCATGTGGACATACTTCATAGATATCATAAGATGTGGACATATGACATAGTTATACGTGGACATATTATTATCCAATGTCTAATCACTATAATAATATGAACCAACATTTTATCTAACTATACAAATAGATGGTCTAAATATCCCTGGATGCACTATTACCTGTCTATATCTATACACATATGTGATATATTTGAATAGATATGTATTTACTGGAATGATGTTGGTTTATCTGATGGTGGGTCAGTCCCTTGAAGGGGACTATCAGTCGTTTCAAGTAGCTGATCAGCTCAGCCACAGTCGGACTGGCCAGGGCTCGGTGAGTGAAGGGGAAGCACTGGGTTTTTTTGGCTTCCCTATTTTTTAAGACATCACCATATGTCATGACTGGCCATATGGATTGGTTTCAGGGAAAAATAAAAAAGGAAACTGTGAAACCTTCTGGTAAAATTACCATTAAATATATGGGGTTTTCCTGTATTTTTTTTCCCCCTAAACCAATCCATTGAGACTTGCGACTGCGACTTGTTGGTGGGTCGGTGTTGGGTTAGGAAGATCAGACTGGGCTCCAATCTACCTGAAGGGATGGGCAAAACATCAGGGGTTGAACATGGGGTGCCAATAGCATCATAGATTTGGAAACAAAAATGTACCTGTGCAATTTCAGGGATTGCCATTATCCTAGCCCCGTTCTGCCTGCCTTCAAAAGCTTTGGAATGAGCATAATGAGCGCTGAGGCGTACGTTTCTCGTGCGGCCACTGTGTTCAATGAGCTCAAGAAGCCCTATGCTCGGAACCCCAGACTTTGTGGCAGATCCGGCGGAAGAGTGCGCCTGTCTTTGGACCTAGCTCTAGCATGGCACAGACTCATGCGAGTATGTCCAAACAATTGAAAGCTCGCGATGTTGAAACCGGTGTTGTTTCCGGTCTTGAAAAAATGGATATTGCAGGATCTAAGTACCACGAAAATTCCTAATGCGGAAGCGATTCTGAACCCATTTTCCAGTTTAAAATGTCACTCTCCGTACCAGTGCTGCGTCCATGTTGAACTTATTGAAACATGGCAAGATCATGGGCAGTGCCAGAATTCGATCTGATAGGCTGGAGATTTTATAGGTGAAACCCGGAATAAAAGCCTGGAACCCATCCACTTGGTTTGCAACTTCAAGTGTTTGCAACATATTGCAACTTTGCACAGGTATGTATGATTTTATGTGTGTTTTACCCTCTGGCAATTTAACACAACCATAGTTTTTTTTTTGAAAATCATCATTTTTAATAGGCAAAACATCTGTACCTGGAACTTGTTCCATAGCTATCTTGAATTACCAGAGGGTCCAGGAAACCCACTTCGCTGACCCACTTCGCTGAGGCGACATCAAGTACAAATACATCTAACATAAATCATAGTTAACCATAGTTAGTAAACAAACCCCACTTATCATTGGATTGGTGGGAACATCGAAACCGGAAACCATTGAAACCATGGTTTAAAAACCATCAACGATAGGGTTTTCCGGGTTTTCCTGTAAAATTTCCCTGAAATCATAGAATTGGATGATGGGAACATTTACAGGAAACCCCTATATTTGATGGTAAAAACCAGAAGGTTTCCGGTTTCGATTTTCCCTTAAACCAATCCATTGATGAAACCAATTCAATGAACTTCGCTTAAAGGACGCATCCCGCGGCCACAACCCGAGGTGATCGTGCAAGCCACTGGCAACGCTCTGACCAAGGCGGTGACTGCGGCCGAGGTACTGCCCAGCTGTTGGGCTGTTGTTGGCTGGTGTCCTGGGGAGATCCTAATGGGATCGCCAAGTTACCATGGTTTTCATTACGATTTTATGATTTTTATGGTCTGAGTGGATTTGGGATAGCTATTCCCATGACTTAGGAAACCTCCATATTAAAGTCCCTACGAAATAGGAAGCACAACAGCATTTCTGAAGCCAGTTCAACAGCTCTTGCTGGAAATTCAGGCTCCTAGAGGCTTCGTTAGTTAGTGATCTGGGACCCTGGCAATGAACGTGGCAACGGCTGTATGTGTCAGGGTCAAGTTAGCTCATTTTGCCATCAAAAGGGATAGTACTCCCTGCATCGTATTAATTGTCAGACCCAGCATTTCAGGAACAATTTCATGGTCAGAAGGACTATCCCATGTTTTTTCCCCATGTTTTTTGTTGATCATGGCATATCTCACCCCACTGTTTCAACCACCACGAGCCGCCCCGCTGTTTCAACCGAACGCGCCGCTAGGTCATCAAGAGGCGTTTCAAGGGCCTGCACCAAATCACAGAGCTAAAGACTGTGCTTTGGCGAACTGATCCAGTTGAGCGACTGGGTGTTTTTTGTTCAATTTTGATCCAGCAACGGGGCTTAAAAACCCCCAAAAAAGGGGCACAAAAGCCAGCAATGGTTAACTGGCTTCGTGGTGAAAGAATTCTATGGCTGATTTTCGATTACCTGTGATCGATCGAGTCGCCATGCCAGATGTTTCCTGCCTTCAACTGGCAGTCACAATGGCCTGGAAAAACGTATGTCTTGTTTTTATCACTGGTTGGTGCAAGTTTGGAGGACATTTTCAATTCATAAGCGGGAAGATTTCCCGGTACCTTATGCAATGCTGTTGTTATATATTTAATCACATTTAGGTGAGAGACATCAGCATCCTATGCCACTTATAGATACAGCACACTTTCAATGCAAGGTATATTTCTCAACATTTCTACCTTGCACATAAAGACCTGACTTGAAAAAAGTGAGGATCTTGTAGAGTCTCTACCTTGCACATTGTAAGGTACATATGTCAATATATATCCTTGCACAATGTTTATACACGCAGCCCTCTTCGGTCCCTTGACTATCGCTATCGGCCAAGTGGCCTAGCCCGAGGTTGAGATCACGGATGAGTACGAACCAATGGAAGAAGGACTTGACAAGGTTCAGATGGGGCATGGGATGGCTTTAAGCAGGAAAACTGATGGGTTCTTATGGATAATAGTGGGGAAAATTCATATATATATATATATCATATATTCGATATCTATAAATCTGGTTGATTTTTAAATCCCGGGATAATACTGGGAAAAATCATCTATAAAGATATTATTCACCCCGCTTCGCGTGGGGTGGCCGCCCACACCGCAGGTTTATTTCGGTCCGTGAGAGGGGCTAAGGGTGGTTTTCCCCCGTGGGGGCTCCCCAAGCTAAGAATTTTCACTTTCCCCCCCCCCGTGGGGGCTCCCCAAGCTAGGGAATTTTCACTTTTCCCCCCCGTGGGGGCTCCCCAAGCTAGGGAATTTTCACTTTCCCCCCCGTGGGGGCTCCCCAAGCTAGGGAATTTTCACTTTTCCCCCCCGTGGGGGCTCCCCAAGCTAGGGAATTTTCACTTTTCCCCCCCGTGGGGGCTCCCCAAGCTAGGGAATTTTCACTTTTCCCCCCCGTGGGGGCTTCAGCTAGGGAATTTTCACTTTTCCCCGCCGTGACAGCTTCCCAAGCTATGGAATTTTCACTTTTCCCTCCCTTGGAGGCTCTCCAAGCTGCGGAATTTCAAATAGCTAGACAACGCCGCCTAGATAGTCCCCCAAATCCCGTGTTCTTTGAATGTGTTTCCATGTTTTTGCAATGGTTTCCTTCAAAGCACGGTACTTTACACTTTTGTCGCCATAAAACCGGTCGAAAACATAATGTTCGACAATGCTTCCAATTCCCTTATCTCCCCAACCGTTGAAAATACCGCTATTTACAGTGTTTTCTTCAATTTTTCCATGTTCCAATGCCGGTAGCCAACTCCAACATATATATATATATAAGAAATCCTTCCAAAACATTGTTTTGACAGTGTTTTTCCAATGTTTCCAGTCAAACAGACGGTAATTTACACGTTTTTTGCCATAAAGGCAGTAAATCCTTCCAAAACATTGCTTTTGACAGTGTTTTTGCAATGTTTCCAGTCAAGCATACGGTAATTTACACGGTTTTTGCTATAACGTCAGTCCAAAACACTTGTTTTTGCAGTGTTTTCAATGCTCTGGCATCCAAAAACCCTGCAAAATCTTGCTATGTACAATGTTTTTTTCATTTTTGGCCGTTTTTCCATTGCCGGAAAGCTACCAAAATGACCAAAAATTCCATTTCAATACCCTCTTGCGCTCAGACACCCAAAAATCCTCGAAAAATGTCGAAAACACCACCGTATTCTGGTCTCGGTGCGAAACCGTTTTTGGCCCCCCCCCCCCAGCTAAAGCTGATATAGCGACTGCTATATTAACAAATGTCATTGAGCATTTAGTGTTGCTGTTTTGCCCCCCAATAAGCACGCCTTCACCGCCAAAGCGGTGTGGGCGGATTTATAAATGATTTTTCCCAAATATGGATGAAATTGATCTATAAATATCCATAGACCTGAAAGATTCCTTGGCGTCCTTGTCTCCAACGGAGACATCCAGGTGACATCCAGCAGTTAACTGGAAGCCTTCCGGGTCATTAAACAATTCCATGGTTCCCATGGAAAACATGGTGATTTTCCCATGGATTTTCCATAGGAGTAATCTATGAACACCAGGTTTCCACATTTTTTACAACATTGAAGTTATCTTAGTTTTACAGCAGGGAAAAATCGGAGCAGCGTTGTGGTTTTGGTTTTGATCCCTCAAGGCTGAGGGATGATGCAAGCCTCCCTCTTCTCGGTAACATTACAATCCGGTCCTCCTAATGTGAACTAATTGCCACCATATGGCCCCCCCAGAAGGAACAGATCCGATAGTATTCCTGAACAAGGGCCCCTATAAATGGAGGCTTGTCGGGACCATCAACGAACTCGATTTTCCAGCCATGATGACTCTGGCGATTTAACGCGAACTGCGAACTGGCGATTTTCCACCCATTTTGAAGAGGTAAAACATCAGCAATCATCTATAAATGAGCCATGTTCAATAGCTATGTTATGTTAAGTTACTATTTCTTTATATATTTCTTTATTTTCCCAGTTTTCCTCCTTGTATCTGGTGTGCTGGGAGCAGCTCTGATTTGGACATCTGCGAAGGAGAGGACTCTTTAAACTCGCCCTATTCGGTTATAGAAACGTTGCTTCTGAACTGGTGTTCCCCCAACATACCACTACAGCACACTCTGGTCGGCTGTCAAACTGCCATTACCACCTTTGATGCTGGTTGTCACCCAAACATGGGAGTTTCCTTCCCCTTGCCACACTCTTGGCTTCGTTTTGATGGAATCTTCACCTGAGATAATCTGCTCATATCATATTCATCATATAGATTGCAATATATGGGAATTCTTCCTGGAATTGGTTGAGGGGAAGGGCAACTATCCCCAAATAGCCGAACTTTTCAGCTTACTGAAAAAAATGATAGGTTCTGGTTAGATATCACATGACTTTCCTTTTTTAATGTTATCCAGATCCATTTTGATCTCCCCTACTCTGAGACAAACCCATCATCGCCCAGCCATGCAATTTCCGTGGAGGTGACGGACGTTCGAAACGTCTCGGTGGTGGAGATCAAACTTTCCAAGGCCTTGGATGTCAATGCAACAGTTCTCCAGAGATTAAGATAGATTAAAGTTAAACGAGGACTTTTTTTAAACAAAAGATGTAGTTCAAGTAAGGTGTGACTATAATCAAAGGTATCAAAGGTGTACCTTAGTGGTTAATTCATACAATGTCATACACAGGTAGCTAGAGATCAAGCTTGTTTTGGGTCCGTTGGCAGTTTCAAAATGTGCATGTCTTTTTGTTTTTGATCATCCTGAGACAATGATGAGGATGATGCTGCCGATGATTAATATTATTGTTATTGTTGTTACTATGATTATATTTGTTCGTTTGAACATACAATCATTATTATTAGCCGTATATATACATATATGATTAGTAGCATCATGATTTTTATTTGTATTATATCATATTATATGATACATTGTCCAAATTTCCCAGGGAGTTTGACGCCATCAATCGGATGATCACAGATTTAAAACACCCAATGGTGAACCCCGTGGGGGGGTCTCTCTGCAGTGTTCCAGCACCATTTTGTTCCCTTTGGTACAGTAATTTAACAATTTGTGGAACATGCCTATGTTTCTTGATAGGACAATGATAAATCGTCTAGACATGGGCTGTTGTAGATGGTTTATTGCTAAAAATATATGTCATAGCTGCTCTAAATGATCTATTTTGATAGGTAAATATATGGCAACTCTCAATTTTCAATAGCAAACTGTTTATTTTAATAGTTAAATCCATGATAATCCATGTAGATGTCCATTTTCCATTAATGACACTGTTACATTATCAGAGGGTATGTACCATCGGGGATCTTCCGAGGAGCCCCTGGACACCAGTGACAAGGGCTACCAGCCGCCCCTAGACGAGTCCATGGTGAAGGAATTTGACCCCGAGGCCGCGAGCCGCGCGAAGAGCCGCGAAGAGCCGGTGAGCCGCTTTCCCGATGATTTTGTTTTTTGTGAAAATTATCCCATCCCGCTAGTGCTAAAGAATCTATATAAATATGTTACAAAAAATTATCCAACTTATCAAGATAATGGATTATTATTGATCCACATATGTCAATATATATATACTGTATATGTATATGTAACATTAGATTTAGCAAATAATATTATATCAGTTGAAAGATATGAATTAAACACCTACATTGTATGTTCACAAATATGTGCACATGCCCTACTAAACCATGGTTTCCGGGGTGGTGTTTAATATGAAGGGGGGGACGTATTTCATGTATACATACATATATATATATATTTATGTATAATGGCGAAATCACCGAAGTAAATAGAAGACTCACCAAATTTTCAATGTTAGTTCACCCACAGTCAATTCAGTAGTGCAAAATATATGTCTATAGCTGGGTAAATCATCGAACTGCATGGGGGATTAAATTTTCAATGTTAAGGCAGTTCACTTCAGTAGGGAAAGTCCTGGCAATGTCCAGTGAACGAAAAAATGTTGGGGTGAAGAAATAAATCTTACGATTCCATGCGCCACCAGCGGATGGAAGTCTCAACGTCATCATTTTTAGAGATTTTAGCGCAGTTGTGTTGGGAGCATGTCAGTGGGATCAAATTTAGATGGAGTCTCAGTTTATGGGTCTTCATGGAATTTCATGGGGGTTTATATCGGATTTAGTGGGTTTTATATGTGATTGTTCAGTGACTTTCATGCAACAACTTGCAAAAGACTTTTTTCTTTACATTTTTCTGGATCTGAACTTCAGACCAGGACAGTTCCAGATGAGTACAGCAGTTGCCAAATCCCCCAAAGGTGTTTTTTTTTGTTCGAGTTTCTACTCGCAGACTCCCATTGAAGGACTTTGATGTCTTGGATTTTTGAAAGGCTTCATCAATATATTGATTACGTATGGCTGATGAACATCATAAAATCTCACCAAGCAGAATGAGGCTTTTCCAAGAGGCTTTTAGTCATGGCGGGATGTGTGGCTGTCACAAGTGCAGGCACGTTCAGCGGCACGTTCAGCCATGTTCAGCCTGCGCATGTGTTTGGTACATTTCTCAACATTTGGCATTATCAAATGCTATTCTGGTTGGTGGTTTGGAACATTTTTATTTTTCCATATATTGGGAATAATCATTCCAACTGACTAATATTTTTCAGAGGGGTTGAAACCACCAACCAGTATTCGTATTGGTCCATTGGACTAAAATATGCTACAGTACGTTTTGCATATTTGAGTCTGAACTGGATTAGATTTGTGCGTGCATTACAGTCACTGTGGCAATTCCACAACATCCAGCGAAAGCCCAATGTACCAGTTTGAGTTGCTCCTATACTCTGATTGTTGGATCGATAGTAATTAGTTGATATGCCATGATATCCTCTGGTAATTTATATATACTATGGAAGCCATTGCCCATTTATAGATGATTTTACTATTAATCATGGTTAATTTTCATAGCCAACTGTTAAATTACCAGAGGTATGCCGTATGCCTGCATATTTCCTATCTGAGCTGGAGCTGCCCTCAGCACGCCATCAGGACATGGTGCGTGGAAGAGGACGTGGCGGTGGCACGGGCAAAGGCCGGATCTTCGCTGGCGGCTCTTGGGTTTTTAAGGCAAACATCAGATGTTTTGAAATCAAGAAACATTGTAACATGGACATAAAAAAAGCAAATAAAAACATGAAATTTTCCCCGTATGAAGTGTAATGTCTAATTTCCTTGATTGTTTATTTCAAGCCTTACAGAGGAAATGATCCCATTGGACCAGCAGACAAGTTCAATCAGGGACTCCTCAAGCTGGAGGATAAATGCCAAGAATGAATTCATAGTGCACAAGAAGTATCAAGAGACATCCAAATGAATGGCACAAGAGCAGTTTTATTGCATGCCCACAAGGGAAATGCCGGGCAGCAATCAACCTCAATCGGATGTAGTTTGATGCGCCACGTATCCACACTCGATACAGAAAGACTTGGGTCAAGCTGCTGCGGGCCCCGAAGAACTGATAAAAATGCCACAGCGACAGCCCCAAATCGATGCTTTCCTGTTTCGAACATGTTTGACCGCCCAATTTTGTAGGTGAACTCCTCTTCAATCCACCGTTTCTTTGGATCACATCCAGAATTCTGCTGCTGAAGTCCAACATTTTTGACAGTGTTTCTGGGTTAAGTCCGTATCCCCCACTTTTTTTTGGTGGTTGAACTCCTTCCGGAGAAATTCCAGAATCTTTGTCTCCCAATTTTTGCTCGTGAAATTCCGTTGATTTCTTGGTGAACTCCGCCGTAATCACCAAGTCATCAAGTCTTGGTCTCCAGGCCGTGGGCGAGGCAAGGGCAAAGGCCGTGGACGTGGCGCCTCTGGAGGGTACCTGGGTTACCTGGGTTACCTGGGCCAGGGCTGTGGGGTCTCAACATTTGGGTGTGTCTGAAAATAGGGAAAACCCCTAAACCCACTGGTTTTGCTGATCATTATCCCTATGAAATTGCTATTTCATTGGGAATATACCCTATTTTCAGACAAACCCATTTGGAGGCTTCTCAATGGGCCATTTTCCAGAAAAAAGGGGGACTCATGGGGACCCCAGTCGAGCGATAGCGCCGATAGCGTTCAGAAACGCCTGAAAGAAGTGGCTACAAAAAAACTATGGTGTATGGTAGGACGAACTAGTTTTCATGGATGTGAACATGGGGTTTATACACCAACTTATAACTGGGCACCATCCTGTAGGATCCTGTAGCTATGTAAGGGGATACCCAACTTCTATGGCTTTATAAAAACATGGATGGTTTACCCTCTGGTCAATAGTTTGCTATGGTGTAGATGGATATAGATGGCCCATAGAAATATCAACATGATGATTTCCTGAACTTAATAACGGTGATTTTCCAGTTTGCTACGTTAAATAACCAAAGGGTAGTGTGGTAAACCCAATGCCATACACCTACCATTTGGGGAGTTGATACAACCTATAAAAATGGTGACTTTTGGGATGGTTTATGATTGGGTTTACCACATCAAATTGAGAGTATTAATTACGTAGCCCCCAAAAAGATGGAAACGTCTTCACTTTAGCAGCCAATTGCTGTCACTATTTTAGGAAGATTCTACGAATTTCTGTAGCTTTTTTGGGGTTACTATAGATTATGTAGTCATGTAGTAATACCACTATATACCACTGATTCGAAGGCACTCTAAATCTATTTAGATCGTTATCTTTGATTTGATAGGAGGGTTTTGTTTTGTGTCTGAAAATTATGAAAAAAACATTGATTTTCGATGGTTGATGATGGTTGCACACTCAGTTAATTATTGTTTTTCCTATAACACAATGACATAACTTGCATGATTCTAGGGTTCCCATTCTTTCAAAAGAAAATTCACCATTCCATTTATTGCTAGTTAAAATACTTTTCCAACTTTTTGGGTGTTGCTATGTGCAATAGATAGATAACTATGAATATACATGGCGGTTTCCTAAAATGGGGTACCACCAATCATCCATTCTAATAGGTGTTTGCACTATAAACCATCCATTTTTGGGTACCACCATTTTAGAAAATCCCCTCATATAGATATAGATAAATCTTTCATGTCAAAAAGATAGAACTTGTGAAGTGCGTCGGCTTCTTTGTTTGCCATTTCTGGAAAATCCAGAAACAATTTCTTGCACTGGTAGAAACCTATAACGATTGAGGTTTCAAAGTTTTCATCTTGAAATTCGTATAACTGTAACTGGTTGGTCGTTGGTAGTTGCAACAATTTTTGCATGATTTTCAATCGATATTTTGGATGAACACCCCCTGAGAGACCACATTTTATTTTTTTTCTTCTGAGCCCGAAAAGCTGAAAAGTTCACTACTATTATATATATATACTACTATATGTTTTAGGGAGTTGAAACCACCCGAGCAGAAAAAACAATATATACCGGATTGCTAATGGAGAATTCCTGCTTCTCAGGAAGAGCAAAGGCCGCGGCAAGGCCGATCGATTTTCCATGGTTTTCCTGCTGAAAAAGGATGCATTTTTTGCAAGGTTTTTGCATAATGTGGTACACCCAATGCCATTAATTAGCCATCCCTACATTTTTCTGGCTGGGATCTCAACTAGTCATGGTAGTTGTTTACGGTATTGAGTTGCCCACGTCACTTGACAGCCATGCATCAGTTGTTAGTATCACCCCCAAGACATCGAAGCTCCAGACGTGGAGCCCTCAGCCGAATCAGCTATGAATCATATTATGGTGCAAAGCTTGGAAATCTACATGTCAAGCAACAGACTCCCGGACTTTGGGAATGATATGGAATGATAATGAATGATATATATATATATATATGGATATTTGACTTAAAGATTAGTCAAGATTTTCAACGATGGTATTTTTTTAAAATGTATTTTCCGACATGAGGAGTTCCAGGACTGTGCCCATCTGTGCCCTCCTCTCCATAGGGCAAAGGCAAGTCTTCCGAAGCCGCCAAAGGCTCGAAAGGCGCGGACTCGGCAACAGCTCCCCATATGTGTCATAGTTCCAAGAGTTGGATGAGGTTAAGCTATTGATTGGGGGGTCATGCCACCAGCAATAGGCAAAAAAACTGGACAACATGAGGATCTCCAAAATAGCTGGGATAGCAATAGCGCACAAACTGTGTTTTGACCAATATGGAGGCAGCAGTAGATGTTTTGTTTGATCTTGTGGTTGGAACCTCACTCGATTTTTTTCTCGAAATTGTAAGTCATATTTTGATACACTACGCATGTATGGTGGCTTTTCAAACGTCTCCAACCTCAACAAGAGGTTGACATTTTGTCTTACCAGATCCTTGAATCGTGACATGTTTGAATTTGGCCAGAAGGGATACGGATACGTTGCAGCATTCCCAGTGGGTAACACTTAGTCTTGCAATGCAAAGAAAGCCATTGTGGTTTTTAAAATCGGACCTTGAATACACTTTTCAAAGGGCAAGATGTGTGGAAAAACATCCCCACCATCACCATTTTTATGGGTGCTCTAAACTATCCCCAGTCATGGTAGGTTGATGGCATTGGGTTGCCCACATTAAACATTAAACGTGGTCAGAGCTTTCAAAAACAAGAGACGTTGGCCATGTAATTCCAATCTTTCGCCTCAGTCATTGCCCCAACAAGGTGGGGGTCTGTGTCTTGACTTGACCCTTCGCATCAAGGCAAGAGCAAAGGCAAAGGTTCCAAGGGCTCTAAGGGCTCTAAGGGCTCCAAAGGAAAGGCTGGGCGGCTGGTGGCGGCTGGGGGCGGCTGAGTCTGGGATGAGTGCAAGGTCTGATTTTGTGACTCCTATTATTGCCCAGTGAAATTAGAAATCTCTGTCAACCACAGGGTACAGAACCATTTTTGAATGATAATTTGTTTTTTTGGAAGATGCTTAACATGAATCGGATGGCTCCACAGTGTCAGCAAGCTAGAAATGGCTGAGATTTGCGATAGCATGTCCTCTTCGTGGAACTGTGCCTGTGCTGTCAGGGTAAGTATGAAGATGATTATGCCTCTCCCTCGAAGGGCAAGGGAAAAGGCAAGAGCAAAGGAAAGAGCAAGAGCAAGTGGCTTGGCAAGAGCAGAGCTTGACATGTCCTTTTGGAGTAACATGGGGTAACCATGGTACCACCAACAAAAAATACTATAAAATACTTGTTTATATAACCAGCATTGATATTTCCTTTCGCTGTGAATCAAACCCTTTGAGACCTGTTGGGGACCACAGATGTTCTCTCCCTTGTAACAGTAAACGACCCCATTTCAAGACTCATGTGTTTCATCCTGTTTCCAAAGATCTGTGAGCCATGCAAAAAGCTGGCTGCTCTTGAACAGGAACCGCACATGGGTTCCTCTGAAAATAGGGTACATCCAAATTTCATGGTCAATCACCATTTCTACACCCAACTTCCACGATGATTCGTCGTTTACTCACCACTTTCCCTACTAAATCTAGTAATTGGACCAAGCCAGCAAGGTATGATGACTATGATGAGCCCAAGGCCGCGTTTGATGAGTCGGTCTGAAAGTTATGGGAACACCAATTTGATGGTTTATCATGGTTTATAATATTTCTTTTTGGTGTGTTTTCATGGTTATATTTGTTTCATGTTTTTGAATTTGCATCCCCAATTTCTTGGACAAATCCATGTGTAGGGTTTGTTCCTAGGAGCCTAGGAGCGGCATTCATCTGATTAATAGTGGTCAACAGCAACTGCTTTTTTGGCATCTAAACTAAGCGTCATTTGGGTCTAGGTGGATACGTGTATATACACACATATATATATATATATATCGTATATATATATATGTAATGTGTATATATATATATATTGTAATATACATATACGGTTTACGTGTATATATATATATACATATCACAAATTATATATAATAGAATCACACTTCGCAGTGACTATGGCTGGATACAGCCATTGGGTCCAAAGGAAGGAATCGCCTCAGGGGGGTGCAGCTGGGGTTCGTTCACATTTCTTACCGTGGTGTTAAAACAAATCTATTGGGATATAACCACGTAACCACTCCTATGGTTATTATATATCCGCTCATAACTCGAATCGCGCCCAAGTACCAGCTCTGAACAGATTTTTCCTTCAGCCCTTGGCATGGCAGCACTGCGAGGGAAAGGGCAAGAGCAGCAAGGGCGGCAAAGGAAAATCCAAGAGCAAGTCATGGGAGGCCGATCGTCCCAGGATGTTCACGACCGGATGTGCATCCCAGGAATCGCAAGTAGCTTCTGATGGCTTCTGACCCGGACCCCCATAGCTGCCATAGCCATCCATAGCCCACATCTAACGAGATCGGTGTAAGATGGTTACCCTCTGGTAAACTAACATAGCGATTGAAAATCACCATTTTTAATGGGAAAATCCACTATAAATGGCCATTTTCAATAGCTATGTTAGTTTACCAGAGGGTACCCACACACAGGGATACACCTGAAAGTTGGTCAGGACTCTTATTCTCCACCCAAGACCAAGGGCTACTCTTCGGGAGGGAGCAACTTGGATGAAACAGGCGCGACCAGAACACCCAAACAAGGGCAGCAACATATCCGAGGATGGTGCTTTCCTTTCACTGATAGCACTTCTAAAAGAGTTCCCGGCATTCTCAATTTCTGGGACTTGAGGATATGAGTCTGAATCAACAGTTAAGGCCTGCAGAACCCCACACATGTGATCCGACCTAGTACAATAAGGTATCGGTTCCTGGTGGTGTGACCAGTTCTGAGCATCACAACCTGCCGTGAAGGACTTGACGTCATGGTGAGTTTTGATGATGAAAAACGGGTGATGATGATCAGAAGCCTGATCTTCTTGTTCTGGTCCTTTTATGTCCTTTTGACAGTTTGACATACATGAATGTGTTGTTGTAACTCTTAGATATAAAGATGATAAAGATGTGAAGCCACAGAACTCTGGTTTGCCACAGATTTTACGAGAATTCACGCAAACCAGGATTCTCAGGACGGGTTTGGAATCAGATATGTCAAGTGGGGAGTTATTTATTCTATTGGAAGTAACTAGATTGATTTGCGTACATAAACATGGGGGATCCAAAGAACCCAACTACCTTGTTCATGTGTTTAGCACCTGGTTGGTGGTTTGGAACATTTTTTATGACTTTCCATATATTGGGAATGTCATCATCCCAACTGACTTTAACTCCATCATTTTTCAGAGGGGCAGGTTAACCACCAACCAGGCTCCTATTTTTGCTATGTCCTGCAAGTGAACCAGTTGGTTTTGGATATGTTCACCTAGGCAAGGGTCAGTCCTACGGCTGGGGCGGCTACGAGGACGGATTCCATGGAATGGATTCCATGGCCCAGAACACGGTGACTTTTTCCATAGCTATCTTCTGGGTAAATTATAACGACCTCACTGTGACCTCACTGGAATCATGGTTAGTAAGGGAAATCATCCCCAAATGGCCTTAATTCAGGGTAGTGAAATATTATAATTTACCCAGTATCTTGGTTTAATGTTAGTGAAGTAATAGGATTCACCATCCCCAATGTGAGAATCTTTATGGCTGCTATAAACTATCAAAGTATGGATGGTTTATTTATTGCTTCACCAACAGTTACTAACATTGTGGTTTACTGAAGGATCTCCCCAAAATTGATGGTTCATGTCTTTTTTGTCCGTTTTTCCTACGAATTCGGACATTTGGGGGTATACCACATGTTCAGACACATGTAAGTGTTGGGGTCACATGTACCTGTTGGGGTGATCAAACAATTCCGGAGCACTTGAGGAACTTAAGAACACATCCATGCAACTTTTAAAAGTTCAGGGAATTGGAAAAGAAATGCTCATCAGCCCTTTGAACGCCAATAATCATGATAAACCTTTGTTGGTCACTTGTTTCCCATTACATCCCAGATGGTATTCACATGCAGGGCTACTCCAAGCTGCTGAATCTCTGCCGCAAGGGGGTCATGGTTGGTCCAGCAGACTCCCTAACCTCCAGGATAAAAGCTACGGTAAGTCGTCGGGCAAGGGCTGGGGGAAGTCGTCCTCCTATGACAGCTATGGAAGCAGCTTGGCAGTGGAACACAAGTGGGGCTGAGATCGTGCTTTTTGGTCACTATTGATCCATATTACATGATATTTTGATAATTGATTACTGTACTTATAAATTATTTTCATATCCCTAACAGAACTCACCATCAAATATGGGGATTTAACAGGGTCCTTCATTTGGCTTTGTTCAAACATGGGGTATACCCCAAATTTGCAATTGAAAAAACAAGCTTCCGACAGGCCCACTTGGATGTTAATTCATCCAGCAGTCTGTGGGTTGTTTAGTGTTGCTAAGTGGGATACACCTACAAGTAGTGTTATCCTTGAGATCCCTTGGGTTAAGCAAGCATGACAGCAGCAAATAAGAGAAACAGGCCTTAGGAAGATGACAAACAGGAGCACATATATATATATAATATATAATATATATATATATGTATATGTATATGTATATGTATATATATATATATATACGGCAAATGCCTGGGCTTTGCCCGGAACCGCAACCACGACAGGCAACGCATCATCATCATCATCATCATCATCATCATCATCATCATCATCATCATCATCATCATCATCATCATCAAACCCTTGTTGAAGATCTTCAAAATGAAGATAGAAGTTTAACGGGGGTGGGAGAATTAAACCCTTATTGAAGATCTTCAATGAATGTAGAAGTTTAACGGGGGTTGGAGAATTAAACCCTGGTTGAAGATCTTCAAAATGAAAATAGAAGTTTAACCCTTATTAAAGATCTTCAATGAATGTAGAAGTTTAACAGGGGTGGGAGAATTAAACCCCCTTATCGAAGATCTTCAATGAATGTAGAAGTTTAACGAAGGTGGGAGAAGTAAACCCTTGTTGAAGATCTTCAATGAATGTAGAAGTTTAACGCGGGTGGGAGAATTAAACCCTTATTGAAGATCTTCAATGAATGTAGAAGTTTAACGGGGGTGGGAGAATTAAACCCTTATTGAAGATCTTCAATGAATGTAGAAGTTTAACAGGGGTGGGAGAATTAAACCCCCTTATCGAAGATCTTCAATGAATGTAGAAGTTTAACGAAGGTGGGAGAAGTAAACCCTTGTTGAAGATCTTCAATGAATGTAGAAGTTTAACGCGGGTGGGAGAATTAAACCCTTATTGAAGATCTTCAATGAATGTAGAAGTTTAACGGGGGTGGGAGAATTAAACCCTTATTGAAGATCTTCATTGAATGTAAAGTTCAACGGGGGTGGGACTTTAATATTCCCTAGTACCTTTGTTGATCTTCTTAATGGAATGTAAAGTTTCACGGGGGTGGGACTTTAATATTCGCTAATACCTTTGTTGATCTTCTCAATGGAATGTAAAGTTTCACGGGGGTGGGAGTTTAATATTCCCTAGTAGCTTTGTTGTTTTTCCCATAGGAATTTAAAGTTTAACGGGGGTGGGAGTTTAATATTCCCTAGTACCTGTGTTGATCTCCCCAATTGAATGTAAAGTTTAACGGGGGTGGGAGTTTAATATTCCCTAGTACCTTTGTTGATCTTCCCAATGGAATGTAAAGTTTCACGGGGTGGGAGTTTAATATTCCCCAGTACCTTTGTTGTTTTTCCATGTTTTTCCCATAGGAATTCAAGGTTTAACGGGGGTGGGAGTTTAATATTCCCTAGTACCTTTGTTGTTTTTCCCATAGGAATTTAAGGTTCAACGGGGGTGGGAGTTTAATATTCCCTATTACCTTTGTTGTTTTCCCATAGGAATTTTGTGAAGTTGCATCAACATTTGTTTGGGAATGGGAAACCTGTACGCTGCAACGCCTGGGCAAAGCTCAGGCGTTGCGCGTATATATATATATATATACACACGGAGATTTGGTGCTGCCAGATTAGAGTACTGGGGTATGTTATATACTTGGATGCCCGAACTTCGTATGGAATTGCCGGGCCGAGTAAGTGGGTAAGGACGTTGCAAATCACTCAGCTTTAGGGACCATCTCAGTAGCTGAAACCGTGGTTGCGAAATCCTGCGCCAGTTGATGGTAAACATCCCATTATAATCCCATTGTTCACAGTGTTTCATAGTTGTCAATAGTTACCAACTGGCGCAGAATTTCTCACATCCACTTTATCACTGCGGAAAGTATGGGTCTGTGCGGTCCAAATAAAGCCATTTACGGCTTCCCGTAAAATGTCTTTCTACCGGACCGTCGTCCTTTCACCTCTTTTTTCTTGCACTCTGGGGTGCAATCTCTGGGAATGTTCTTGGGTAACCCTGGGTACCCATGGGTACCCCATAAACACGAGCAGCTTACTCAGTGACTTGAGCAGACAAGGGAAGGGTACTACAGAGGTACTACTTTGGTTAACATTCTGGTTGTTAAACCTGGCAATGGACTATCCCCCACTTATATCCATTGAATGTTCTCATCATACAGCGGTATTTGCTATCGCCATGTTTCATTACCGGATGGTTTTCACTTCATAGTAACAACCCTCCAGTAATTTCCCATATTATCCTAAGAAAACCCATGGGTTTTCCATATCTAGTATGTATTACAATTGTAGGTACATTTCATAGGTGGGTTTTCCTTCTTGGCTCGACCAACCAGTAGAGACCAACCAGCGGCTTGCGGCCAAGCCTTTGGGATCTAAGGCAAAGGCAAATCCAGTGGCAAGTCGAGCAGCAAAGGAGATCGGGGGGGATCTGCTGGGGAATGTCACGAAATATCTGCCTTGGGGTTAAGATTTTGGCAGAAGATGGGCCGTTCAGAATGCCCTTGATTGGTTGTTTGGTTGGTCATTGTAGTTCTACCTCCTTGATCCACCTATAACAAGGTCCAGGGTTGAGTATTCAACTGCCCCGGTCCCAAGCGCCCAAAGCGCCCAAGCGTGGGCTGCGTCAGGCAAGTCCAGCGGCTATGGCAGCTACGGAAGCTACGGGTACTAAGCTGCTCAAGAGGTGCTTTCTGCGTCGGTGGTGGGCAAAGAAAGCACATTTGGCAAAGAAAGGGACGGTCAATCAACAATTTCGCCCATTTTTTTGCTTGCTTCAAGATATCTGGTTGGTGGTTTGGAACCTTTTTTATTTTTCCATATATTGGGAATAATATATAACCCCAACATACCCCAACTGACTTTCATCTTTTTCAGAGGGGTAGGTCAACCACCAACCAGATATGATTAGCCTTATTTGGGGATATCTTTAATTCGTTGAATCCTGAATCGTGTGGGTTTTCAGATGGAACGGGCCCCGGGCCTTCTTATTTGACCAACCTGGTTTCAAAGATCTCGTCTTTCCATCTCAAGAAGTGGCAGGAAAATCCCAATGGACTCACAGAATTTTCCTTTTTTTCCACCATTTTTCCTGGTGAACTCCGGCCGAATCATTGAATCCAGCACCACAATGCACCACACAAAACTGGGAGTTTTCCTCATCCCCTGCAGACCTCGGTCGAACACATCATTTTACATTGCAAATGTTGCTGGGCAGCATCCTTTGGGCCTTTTTGGAGGGTGGGAGTTTGGCTGAAGGAGAAATCATGAGAAATCGCCGAGTCGAAGTGCGACAACCAAGGCTTTTGAAAGAACCCAACCATGTTGACATTGAAGATGTGACATGTTTCAGCACCACGTGCAGCAGGCCTACGGACACCAACACTTTATGATTTTCTTGACACTTTTTGTAGGCTGTGCCCGGTCTTGACAATTATCTTGATACTCGTTTTCTGCCCATCACATTGAGGCATAGAGATGCACAACTCTTCATATTATACAAGTTCCGCATCCAAATGCATCTCTAGTGGATACTACACCCTCTAAATTCAACATGGAACCCCAAAGTTGTTGGGTTTTGGGAGATGATGTTACAATCATGGAAGCATAAATTGGGCTTCCATCAACTTCGAGGTTCCCGGACCGGCTAGAACTTTTTGTGAGAGCACAGACATCACAGACATGAGGACCTTGCAGAGTTTGGCTGGTGAAATCAGCGAGGGAAAAGCGGCGGATCTGACAGGTTTAATCTCCTGGGAGATTTACAGATTACCTGGACCCTTCATGGTGTAAGTAGTGATATGTTGCGGTGAACCATGGATTTCTGCTGGGAAAAAGCCAGACCTTGTTTCAAGATGTTACAAGGGCTAGAGAAACAGTCCAACTCATCAAGAATCCAGGTGGTTTCATGTTTTGCATGGCTTTTTTTGGAATGATGATCCCCATCGACCCAAACATGGACGATGATGCAGTAAAACCACCAACCAGTATAGTAACACCCAAACGATAGAAATATGTGAAATCCTGGTAGAATGGTGGCAGTCTAATGCAATCTATTCGATTTTTTTGCGTCACCATCTTCGTTTTGTGGTGATGATCACCAGGTTTCACTTTGATGCCTTGCTGGGTGGGGAACCGCCAACTGTCCGACCTTTCGCGGCTGTTTGGCGGCTCTAAAGGGCAACATTTGGAGCCACTGACGATCGTGGTCAAGCACAGCAGCGTCCGTTGCGATCGCGTGCCCTGGACCACTGGATCGTGATCTGGAGATGTTTGTTGGCCCACCAGGGATCGCGACCATCACTGGGGCTATCACATGTAGCCATGGTGCATGTAAGCATCAAAACTCCGCGGTTGGGATGGTTGTTACATCTTATTACCCTCTGGTTATTTAACATAGCCATGGGAAATGACCCATTTATTTATAGATGGTTTACCTGTTAAAAATGGTGATTTTTCATGGCTATGTTAAATAACCAGATGGTAATCTTATTACTTCATTTTACGACTGGGGGACAAAAAAGTTGTCATCCCCAGCAGGCTGGGCTGGGTTGAATCTGACAGTCGCACGGAAGGTTCATAAGAGCGCGCAAGGATCTGCTAATGATAGTGTCATAGTGTCTTTGAGGCAGGAAATTAATGGAAATTCAATGTGTCTAGGTTCTCAATTTGGACAATCACCCACATGGCTCAGATCCATCATGTGTAGTTCAATTAGATGATTCGCTGATTGAAACGCAGTGTTTTTCAGGGCATTGCCCGGGCAAATGAACAAAAGTGGTCAATGTACAATGTTTGGGTTTCTTATGCTACTACTAGTAGTATATCTATGTCAATATATGTGATGCATGCTTTGGTTTTTGGGTCATGAACATTCACAGTCACAATCCATCATAATCCCGCAAAAGCTGGATTGGAATTCGTTGGGCCTAACCCCTGAAACAGCCAGCATTTTTTGTCTTATATCATCTTCTTGTTGAGATCTAATTCGAGGTCCAAACACTATCAAAGAAATGATCATTTTGGTTGCTTCCAACTTGAACTTCAAGCAACTTGGGTTGCTTCTATATTCTCTGCTTGGTTGTTTGGAACATTTTTTATTTTTCCATTCAGTTGGGAATGTGATCATCCCAACTGACTTTAACTCCATGATTTTTCAGAGGGGTTGAAACTCAACCACCAACCAGATTACCATAGTAGCCATCATTAACCAAAAATAATAACCATTAATATTAACCATTATTAACCATTATTGACCATCATTAACCATATAATAATCATTATTAACCATATGTACCTGACAGCAATCTCCCAGCAGCTGCCCAGTTCCGAACGGCATCATGGACAAGTACCGCAAGGTGATG